CCATAACTTAATTTTGTCAGGGATACTGTCCAGAATTAACTATGGGGATGAAGTTATAAGTAGGTCACTAGGGCTAAATGGTAGACATAGATTAGTTTGTAAGGATGGGCAGATTAGCTGGTTGGACCTGTGGGATTAGATCAGTAGAAAAAAGGAGTTTTTTTGGAATGGATGGTTTACATTTAAATAGGGTAGGCTTAATTGTTTCTATTGTAATTCTAGAAGTATAAGAAATAAAATAGACAATTTTAGAACACTGGTAGGAATGGAGGATTTTGATATAATGGGAAAAACTGAAACATAGATTTTGATGAGAGAAGTTTTTTTTTAAATACAGGGTTACAGGATATTTAACAGGGATAGAGTATTAAAGAGGGGGAGGAGTGGCCTTATAAGTAAAATGTGAGTTACATCCTGTTGAAGTTGAGGATATCAAAGAAAATAGCAAGGAGATTGAATCCATTTGGGTTTCTATTAGTGGTTATAAAGGGAAAAGGCCTTTAGTGGGAATTCGTTACATAACACCAAAAGATACTGATGAAATAAGTGAGAAACTTTACAATGAGATTAAGATTTCAGCTGTTAATGAAGTCATAATTCTGGATGATTTTAATTTCAGGCATATAGATTGAGAAATGCTAGAGTCAAACATTGTATTCATATTTTACAGTTATTTATTTCATTATTTCATTTTTGTATCTTTGCATTATTAAAAACAAATTACTTAAATTCCCCTAAATTCCAATAAAAGGGTAAAAGTACATGTTCATCGTAACTTGTGAAAACAGACAGTGCTTAAAACAACTGTAGAGAAATATATTAATTATACATACAAACTCCTCTTTTAAATATCTGAAAAATACAAATATACTACACTCTGCAAGAAAGAGCATTTAGAGTAACTAAGATTTTCTTGTTTTATACATGACTTTAAAATTACATTTAAAACACTGATATCTTGTGAATAGTGGTAAAAAAACATATAAAACTCGATGCTATTAAAGCTTTTAAAAGCTTCAAAGCAATACCTTTAAAAGTTTAAACTAAATATAAACTGGACAAAATGTCAAGATTTTAAAAGAATGCAAGAAAAACCTCAATTCTTACAAAATATGAACCAAAAGCATTAACACAAAGTAGGTTTCAAAAATTGCAGAATGTCCATCAAACACAACCAAAGAAGTTTAAATAAACAATTCAATTTAATTTCTAAATTTCACAGAAAATTTACCATAGACTGATACACATCAGTATATGAAACAAATGAAAATACAATTCCCAAACCTGTATTTGAAGATTCAGTCACAAAGGTCTAAACAAACAATGTAAGTTGAGTTTTATAATCCTAATAGAATCAGTGTCTCCCCATCAGTAAGTCTAGTTGAACAAAACACATTTAGATCTGACAGAATTACCAATTAAAGAAACCCTTATAAAAATGACGATAAAAAAAAATTCTAATACTGTCATTCAGATGATGGTAGAAAAACAAAGTTTAAAAATTCCTAATGTGATGCAAATAAGAAAAACAAACTTCAAAAAAATTATTTAATGATTTGTTTGTTTCAAGTTATGCACAAAGCAACACAATGGACTATCTGTGCTCTGCTCACCATTTCTAGCATTGTAAGTCCGCAGACGTACCGCTGTGCCATTGGGGGGCCTCATTTAATGGAATGTTATATTGTAAATTTGTTAAAAGTTTTTTGAGTCTGTAGTAAAATGGTCTTCCATGAAGTTTATGAATATGAGATGAAGCCTTATCCAGAATTATTAAACTCTATTTAGACAAGAACCTAACTATTATTTGCTAATTTTTTACAGCTACTTTCATACTCCATGAAAATTAATGGTAAACAAAGTCAATGTAGAGAACACAATAATTATATATAAAATATGTATATTCACATGGAAATGTATCAGAATTAACTTGTGTGTGATATCTTGGTGCTAATGATAATTAATTTTTTCATTATTCATGTCCTAGAAGCATCACTGAATCACATAACATTCACTGACTTTCTCAAATTTTGTCTCTAAAACTAAATTCAATGATGTTAAACAGGCCAGGAATCCAAAGTTTCCAGTTTCCCTCTGGAAATCATGTATGTAACAACTGAAGGTGAAAAGAATATTTTCCAATATATAATTTGTTTCAGAAATGTTAACTTAATACTTAAAATACACCACTGCAGCATTCCCATGTCAATTATACATTTTATTTTAATTAAATCTATAAATTCTTACCCAATGTATGATCATATTCAACATGGAATAAGTATTATATATCATGTTTTACTTGCACTTACACAACTCTTTACTCCATCTCCAGCATCCTTTCTAGACATTCCTACTGTAAGCTCAAATACCAACAGATGATGAGGGCTACAAGCAAAAAAGTTCCCGAGGTTGTCATGTATTCCACAAAGAACTCCAAGGCTAAAAAGTAACTCATCAATTCCCTCTTTAACCTATAAAAATATATATATATGAAAACGTTAATAGCTTAAACTAGTTGCACATTAAAAAAACCTAATTGCTTTAAACAAAGAACTCATTATAGCATCTTATCAGCCCCTATAACTGGAAGTAAATACTATAGACTAATAGCATAGTCTTATTTACAGTGCTCCAAGTTGTCAATATGTAGGTAGAAAGATTGAGCCACAACACACAGGTAATTTAATGGGAGGGGGCTTAAGACCGGTAAAAAAAACCTTGTGAAAGAAAGTTTTTGTATAGTTTGAATATATCTCAAGATACAAATAATTGCGCCAATTCTTGTTTATTGCTGTGAAAATACTGGAAAATTACGTATATTTTAGAAAATTTAGCACTTATTACTTTTACTAATGGTTTGTACTATTTACTTACTTATATTCAAGTGCTACAAAGATAAGTCTTGATGCAATAGAGTCTGGAAAAAGGATCTTTCAGTCTCAGCCTACATAGTGGCAAAGTACAAATGATATGCAAAAGGGTTTTGACTGTAATGTTGGATACACCAACCACTTGAGCATTAGCATTTATTTCTAAGAGTTTGACAAAAGTACTGTTACGTCTCTGTATGTTTGCTTGTTAATTCTTACAAGATACAAGTCCTTTCTTTATAAAACTCGTTTATTCTTTCTCGGGATAACCGTTTGCCAGGTCGTCACTTTCCTATCTGCAGTTTCCCATCTCTGGAGAAGAATACCATCTTCAAGTTTCAACTGGTCCCATTGTGCCCAATAGTTCTTTGTCACAGGGCTTAGACTAGACACCTTCTCCCAAGCAGGGTGCAAAACACCTGCCTTTAGAAAATCAATCATTGGCTTCAAATCTTGGTCTTTCTCCTGTTCTGCCTTGATATCTATATTTGGTTCCACTTCGTCATCAACTCTTTCAGTTGGCTTGACTTCAGCTTGATGACACCTGG